AATGGTTGTCATCTATGGCTCATCATTTCTCAGGTGTCTGTAGCCCTGGACGCAGGACCCCAAGTGCAGGGGTTGATCCAGACACATAGCAGCACCTGTTGGCCATGAGAGGCTCCCTGGGGTATAAGAGGGGAGAGTCACTCCATTTCCTCAGAACCAGCAAGAGGAATGGAAATTAGGTATCTGTAAGGACTTATAGGCTGCTTACTGGGACACCAGGCCAGACTCCGAGCGAGAATATCCCTGTGGCCATTGCCCTCTGCTTCGGGCCACAGAGTCTGTCATGGCTGACAATATCTTGGTGCTTCCAGCTGGTCTATGAGGGCTTGGCGTTTGGGGGATGTGACAGGGAGGCTCAGGGCAGGCAATGGCAGGAGGGGGCCAACCCAGAAACCTGGTTTTCCAGTAATTGAGGAGCAGTAGAGGGTGCTGATAGAGATGTCATGAGTTCTCCTTGACTTTTGTCCTTTCCCGCTCTGCCCCTAAGCACTCCTGACTCAGCGATGGTGGCAGCCTTGCTCTTCCCGTCTGGCTTCCGCCAGGGTGGGGGTGGGGGTCCAGCTCCTGCACAGTGGCCCAGCAAGCAGCAAACAGGAAACAGGAGAACAAAACCGCTCCCAGGCCCCCACATACCTCACTCTCACCCTTCCTCCTCCCTTCCTTCTCCCTCCCTTACTCCTGCTTACCCCTATGTTCCTCTATTTCTCCTCCCTCTGCCCCAGGACCCCGCTCCACGCCATGCCCCTCGTGTCACTCTCCTACCTCCCACAGGGTCTACCATCAAGGCTCTCCTTCCTTGGATGGGATGAGGGAGCCAACGCCTCTGCTCAGTCCCCCCTCTTGTGGCTGCCAGCAAGGGCCCAGTGCTAGGATTCTTCCTCCCCAAAACTGCTAGGTTTGGGAGCAGAGCTGAGCTGGAGCTGCCTCCCCCTCGCCCCCAGCCTCCCTTCTCTGAGTGCTGGCTAGAATTTGGAACTGAGATCCGAAGGAGCGAGGGGCTCTGGCTTGGAGTCCCAGTGCTGCCACAAGCTGGGTGCTCTTGGGCCTCAGTTTCCTCTGAAAATTGGATCATAGCAGTGGCCCTGGGGCCACAGTGAGGGACTGTGGTGAGAAACACACTGCTCGTGAACAGTCACGTGGGATAGAAATGGTGGTGGCGATTACATACCTACTAGCCAAGGCCTCTGCCAGCCCCACCCAGGAAGGGGCCTGGGAAGGGAGAGAGCCAGGAAGGGGAGGAGGGCAGGGTCTGCCATCAACATGAGCTTCCTGTCTGACTCATATGCTGGGGATGGGGTGGGGGCCAGCTTGGAGCCCATTGTCAGCTTGAAGGTGGCCCCTCTGGGCACAGTGAATGGGCAGTGGGTCCCGAGGAAGAGGGGCATCACACTTCCCCACAGTGATGATGGGGACTCCACCTATAGCCTTAGGGTATATCTAGTGTGGGGTGTAATGAGGGTGAGCGCTGCTGTCTGCTGGGCAGTGTGTGTGCACGCAGCTTGCGCCTGTGTGGAGTGGGTATGCTAGGTGGTATGTGCGTGTCATCTATCAGCTTTCGTGGGTGTTGGGGGTATCTCTGTGGGATATGTGTGGAGTGTATGGGTGGTTACATGGCGGGTGTCTGGTGTGCTTTTCCGCCACAGTGGGTGTGCTTGCCAATGTGTCTCTGTAGCATGTGTGGACCATATATGTATGGGAGGGTGCCCAAAGTGCATGTGCATATGGAATGGAGTCCACACACAATGTATGTGAGGGGAATAGTGTGTTGATGTGTGTGTTTCTGTGGGCTATGTGGACAGAGGGAGAGTGAGCAAGTGTGTGTGTGTGCGCGCGCGTGTGTGTGGCTGGGAAGGTGTAGGGTGTACATAGTGCAGGTCTGTACTGGGTGGGTAGGTGTGTGTTTCTGTGTGTACATCTGTGCGGGGGAAATGTATACACTTGTGAATGTGTGTTTCCTATGCGCAGGAAGCTGGGTGCCCTGGTGCAGGCCGGGTCTAGGGAGTTTCTGTGTGAGTAGGAGGGTGAAGGGGTGTGTACGTGTGTGTACACGGTGTGTGTCTGTGCGGGGGCGCTGTGTGTGTGGGTGTGTGTGGGGGCTGGGGCGGCCCAGGGCAGGGGCCGCCCCGGAGGGGGAGGCGTCTTCCCTGCGCGACTCCCGGCGTGTCCCGGCTTGGCGCCTTCAGCCGGGAGGCGCGGGAGGCGCGGGAGGCGCGGAGACGCTCCAGTCGTCCTGCCGCCGTCCGCGCGGGCCGGCCGTCCCCTCGGGGCTCCCGGGCCCCGGGCCCGCGGCTCTGAGGGGCGGGCGGGGACCCCTGGGGTCCGCCCGCCGCCGGGAGGGCCGAGGACGCCGCCCGCGGGGCGCCGAGGAGCGGCCGCCGTCGCCCGGGAGTTGCGCCCCGCTCCGGAAGCCGGGCCCTCGGCGCGATGGAGCCGGGGCGGCGGCCGTGGCCGGGGGCCCCCGCCGGTGGCGGCGCTGGTGGGCGGCGCCGTGTGGCGCGTGGAGCGCGCGGGGGCCGGAGGCTGGCGCTGGGAGCGCGCCGTCGGTGTGGACTGCAGCGCCCCGGAACCGCGCTGCCTCTGGCTGCCCTGCCTCCGTCACAGCGACCGCCACGCGCCCGGGTCGCGGAGGGCCAGGGTGAGCGCCGTGGGGGCGGGGGCCAGGGCGAGGGGCCTGCGCAGCCTCGTGGGGAGGTGGGGGAGGGGGTTGGGGCCACCAACTCCCTGTGTGTGCCCTGCATTCTGGGACCCGTGCCCCGGAATGGGGAGCGAGTAAAGAGCTGGAAAGATACCTGTGAAGGTGGTGGGACTGTGGCCGAGAGCTTCTCCAGAGGTGCTGGATCACAAGCCCCGGTCTGGTTGGTGGTCTCCAGGGGTCTCAAGCCCGCAGGTTTACAGGCAGTGGAAGGATGGAAGGGACCAGGGTTGTTTGAGGAGATGCTGGGGCATCTAGGATCCTGGGGAGTTTGGGCTGGCAGGGACCTCGAGCCAGAGGCAGGCAGGAGTACCCCTAAATGGAGTGGTGGGCACCACTCTGTCCTCCCCCCGGTAGTGGACCTGGGCACAAGGACACACAAGGGTTTTCTGGTGGGCAAAGGAGACTGAGACGGCACAATGGGCCCTGGCGTGTAGTGAGTGATCTGTGGGTGAGATTTGACAGGGCAGGAGTGGGGGTTGGGACAGTGTTTCTGATGTTGGGGATCGACCAGGCTGGTAGGGTGTGAATCATAGTGGGCGCCATGCCCAGCATGAACGCTGTGCTCCCTGCACTGACCTCTTTATGCTCCTGGGGGAGGAGCAGGACTCCTGGGTTCTAGTTCCTGGTGTTGCCAACCCACCATGTGTCCAGTTCTGTCTAATTTATGGCCCTGACGCCGTCTGCCCTTCCAGAATTAGTTGGTATTTCTGGATGTCTCTTTCTTTCCTGACATGAGGGTGGGAGCATTTGGAAATGGATCTGAGGCAAGAAAGTATTAATCAGTGATGTCCCTGTATCCCCCAAGCCTCTCCCTCTGTATTCCCTTATCTCTGTGCCTACCTCAGGGAGCAGGGTTGGGGATGTGTATGAGCTGTACCGCTTCCCAGTCTAATCACCTTTCTTGTTCTCATTGCTGGCTCCTCTGTTTCTGTATCTATCACCTTCCTCCCCCTCAAATGAGACCAAGACCCAGGATTGCCCCAGGTCCGATGCAGGGGAGGAAAGGAAACTTGCATGTATAATAACATAGAAGACTTGAAGTTAAATCTAGGAGGAGAACTGCATTGGGGCTGCCACATCTGGCTGTCTATGGGGGCTGCAGCGTCTCCTCTTCAGGCAAGAGTGTGGAAGCTGCGGCTGGGGGATTACCACACTGACATTCTCAGGAGCCTAGCTGGGAAGGAGGGGGGAAGGGAAACTGGAAAGAAGGAAGAGAGGAAAGGGAGAGGCTGAAGGCTGAGATAAGGGTCGGGATGCCAACAGTGCCTGGGTGAGGAGGGGACCTGAGAGAGGAAGGCATGCCTATTGCCCTGGATTGTGGGCAGGCCCCCCAGAGGGTGGCACCCCCAGGCAGCTGGCAGCTCCAGGCAGGATGTGTGCTGGGGGAGGAGTGGGGGGCATGCAGGGACCTGTCTCAGCCACTTCTCATCACGGGGGCAGCTGGTGGCTTAAACCTTAATCCAGGACACCAGCAAAACAATGGGCCCTGCAAACAGCCTCAGTTCTGAGCTTGGGTGGAGGGTGTGCAGGGGAGGCTGCCCATACTGGAGAAGAGCTGGGGCTTCCGCAAGGAGGGGGCAATGGAGGGTCTCCTGAGGCCCTCGTCCCCCCGCCCCCATCAGTTTGCAGAAATAGGAAATCCAAGGGATTTTAGACCTCAGTTGAATTCCCAGAGTTTTCTCTGGGCTCCACAGACCCCCTCAGGACTGTGGATCTAAGTGGGAGAGTCCAGGCTATCACCATAGGTGGAAGGGACCGAGAGGCCGTCACTGGACCTCCAGCCCCCTGCTGGAATCCCCGCTAAGACTGGGGGTCGTCCAGCTTTTCCTTGGACCCTTGCGAGGACAGAGCTCACAACCTCATCCGGGTAGTTTTCCAGATGTACGTTAGAATGGTCACCTTGGCCTGGAGTTTCACTCAGCCTCTTGTATCTCCCACCTGGCTCTGTCCCCTGGGGCTGCATGAAGCAAGCTTATTACTCTGTCATATTTTTCTTTTTTTTTTCTTTCTTTTTTTTATCCTCAGCCGAGGACATTTTTCCATTTTTTGTACAGACAGAGTGGGAGGGAGAGAGAGGAAGAGAGAGAGAGAGAGGGAAACATCGATGTGAAATGAACACATCGAGTGGCTGCCACCCGCATGACCAACCAGGGCCGGGGACAACTGCAACGGAGGTACATGCCCCTAGCGGGAACCAAACCCGGGTCTCTCCGGACCGCAGGCGGACGCTCTAACCGCTGAGCCAAACCGGCCAGGGCTGTCATATTTTTCTTTAATCTCTCCAACCCCATGCAGAACTCCCTAGCATAGCCCTGGACCTAGGGCAGGCTTCCTTCCGCCAGATGTGTTAACAGGAGAGTGGATGGATGGATGATGGAACTTCTTAGCATCAGTGCATTTGAGTGGCAAATTCGATTTTTCTCCAGCTATTAGATGAGGAAGAAAGGGAGACTTAGTAAAGTGAGAGCGCCTCATCCCAGAACGAGTGGTCGTCTTCCTTCTGCACCCAACCTCACCTTTCTTCCCAGGGCCAAGGAGGAGTGAGGGGTTGAGGACTGTTTGGGGTAGGGGTGAAGGAGCTTCTTGTCCTCTGAGGGGTTAAGTTAGGCTGCCCAAGGTGTGGGGGTTGAAGAGCCACCAGGGGAGGCCTCCTGGCTTTTCACTGGGCAGTCTGCCTCTGCCTCCCTGTAAACACATCTCTCTGACACCCTCCTGTCCCTCACTTTGTCTCTCTGTGTCTGAGCAGGGGACCTAAAGGGAGACTTCCCTCAGGCACTGCCCATCCTCTTCTCCCTCTTGTCCCAGAAAAGTCCTGTGAGTCCCTAAACCCTTGTCTTCAGACATCCTCTGCCAGGTCATCCTGGGGAATCCCAAGTATTCCAGCAGGTCAGCCAGAGGGCAGTGACGTGTCCTCCCACCCCCACCCAGTTTCCCACTCAGTTCCAGTGAACCAGCCAGGCCTCTGGGCTGGGCTCTCGAGCCTCAGGAAGTCCCTGCAGTTGTCTGGATGTCCAGTCCACTCCATTGTGGCTTCTAGTCCTTCACCTGTCTCCATTGCTGCTCCTGAAGGATATTGTGTGTGGGACCAGTGTGTGCATGTGTATGTCTAGGTGTGTGTAAGACTGATTATGTGCATCTGTGTGTGCACGTTTGCATGTCCACATGAGTGTGAGTGTGTACTCATCTGTGTCTGTGCACTTTGCACATGAGTGTGCTTGTCTGGGTGTTGTGTGTTCTGTGTGCAAGAGTGTGGATGTGTCTGCGTCTGCACACGTGTGTGTCTGTGTGCATGTGTGCAATTGTACAGCGGCAGGAATGAGCGCAGACAGCAGCAGGCATTGTGTTCAGTGCCTGGCACACAGTAGGTGCTCATGAACATTTAGTGAACTGAACTGAACCAACACTTGGCTCACTGCAGTGAGTTATTTCCTTGGAAACAAAAGCATCACCAGGGGGTTGAGAGGAAAGAAAGAAGGAAGCCGCTGTTGGGCTGATGAGGATGAGAGGAAGGAAGGGCTGAGGAGGGTGCCTGAACCCATGGGCCCCGTCCAGCCCCCATCAGGTCCTCTGGGCTGCAGGAGGCAGTGTGCAGACTTGAGGTTGTAGGCAACAAGGCCACTCACCCATCTCCCTGTGCTCCCACAGCTGCCACTGGGCCCAAGAGATGGGTGCTCTCCTGGGCGCCCCTTCCCCTGGCAGGGGCCGCGGACACTGCTGCTGCACAAGAGTCTTCAGGACGGCTTCGGCTTCACCCTGCGCCATTTCATCGTGTACCCACCCGAGTCCGCCGTGCACTGCAGCCTGAAGGTGCGCCCAGCTCACCCCGGCCTGGCCCATCCTGAGGAAGCCCTGATGGGGGAGAGGAGGTTGCTTTGCACTGTCCTCTCCCTCCATGGTCCTTCTTCTGTGGCCTGGGTCATTTTCATCTTCTCAGAAGGGGTGGCTGGCTCAGGGCAGGGAACCTAGAGGTGAGGGAATCGGGTTGTTCACTCACACCTCAGATTCTTGGTCTCTGGAAGGTGGACACCTGCTCGGAGAGATGTGGTCCTGGGACCCCTCGTCCACTGGCCACTTCTGAGATGGTGTTTTTGTCCCCTTTCCGTCTGAGTTCTCAGGGAGTCTGTTCCAGCACACCTCTGGAACCCCTGCCGGAGCACCCCAGGCGCTTGCTGGCCTCAGCTCTGTGTGCTGGAAAGAACCCTGGGCTGGGATGAAGGAGACCTGGGTTCTAGCCCTGGCACAATTCCTAACTCACTGTGGATCTCTGGGCTTCACTTTTCCTGCTGTAACCGGAGGGCCTTTTTCTACTTGACCCCTAAGATCCTTTCTAGCCCTCGTATAAGTGTCAAGTTCTCTGAGGCCAGGAACCCGGCTGCTCAGCCCAATCCACAGTGTCTGCTGGGAGGAGGGGTCCCTGAAGGCGAAGCAAGTATTCACATTAGGTCTCAGTGCCCATGCTTGTGTGCTTGCACTGCTCTGTGGGCACACGACATGCACACGTGTGTATCTAGACATGGGCATCTCGGAGTCCGTAAATACACGTCATGTGTACCTGGCTGTATGACTCTCCTGGCCATGTCTGAGTCTGAGGTGGGGCTGCCTCTATTCTCATGGGCTGCAGCTATGCCTCTGGGTGTAAGTGGGGGCTGATAGTGTGTGGGAGGGGCTCTGCCCCACCCCTTGATGCCCAAGGATCCCAGCCCTCTCATTCCCTGGAACCTTCAGTCCTTTCTTCCCTCCTTTTCCAGAATGCCCTTTCTTTCTGGCCCCTGCCAACTTCTCTCAGGGGTCCCTGCTGAGGGGTGACAAGGGCAAAAGCAGCCTGAGTGGTCTAGTCTGGGTGGTGGACCTGTCTCCGAGAGACCTAGCTCACGTGGGGCTTTGGGAGACTGCAGGGCTAGGTAAGCCAGGGACAGGCTCCATTCCTTTCCCAGAACCTGCCCAGGACTGGGAGCCTGCAGGGAGCTCAGCCGTCTACATGCATCTGTCTGCCTCCGCCACCCCCTCCCTGTGCTGTCAGCTCATATCAGCAGGCACAAGGCCACATGGCAGGGCCCGGGCAGAGGGCCTCTCCAGCAGAGCCCAGAGGCCTTCCTGTCCTCACTGCTATGCCAGAGTCCTGGGTTCCAGCCCTGGCTCTGCTACTGAGTCTCTAAGTGGGCCTGGACAAGTCATCTGTAAAATGGATGTTCTGTGGAGAGGGTTAGACAAGATGACACTAAAGGCCGGATCCTGCTCTAAAATGTCACTTGCTGGCCCGTTGTGTCTTTCTGACCTTCTTTCTCTCATTTCTGTTTCTTCCCCAAATCCAGTGCCCTTCCCCCTCACTCACCAGGAGGAGCCCAGAGGCCTCCCTAATGGGTCCCCTGGACTCGGTTTCTTAGCCCTACACCCAGATGCCAGAATTCTCTTCTCTAACTGGTATTTTCACATCCACTTTCTCCCACTCACCAACCTTCACTGGCTCCCTCTTTCTCTCATTCCCAACTTGAATGCTTTAGTCTGACTTCTGTGGCTTGCTGCTGCTGACTTTCTCCTTCACCTCAGCTGATTCAGTCCCACACATGCTGATTTCTGATACCTGCACGCTCCCCTCCCCTCACTCAGAGCGCCTTCTCCCAGCCTTCACGTCCCCTCCCCGGGGGCCACCGATCAGGCCTTGTCCTCCCACTCTCTCCGAACCGATAGCCGCTGTTTGCACTTGTCATGCTTGCTTATCTGTGTCTGTCCAGGTTCTCTCTCTGTTAGTATGTTTGGTTCAAACTCCCCGAGGGAAGGGGTCATGGTCCCCCATTGATTGGGGGCTCTCAGATGGCTGAGATGTTGACATGGTAGGGTCAGCATGAGAGAAAGTTCCTGTCATTGGAGAATCATGCCTGGGACGTCCCCATAGACCCCTCCTGCCCCCTCCAGACGCTGGGCTCTTTGTAGAAGATAAGAGGGTAGGACCTGGGTGAGGGAGATTGAAGGGGCCCGCCCAGGTGGAGCTGGGCCTCCCTCTGTGCTGCTGAGGGCTGGACTAAGGGCCAACACCCATCTCTCTGCCCCTTGCAGGAGGAAGAGAATGGAGGCCGAGGAGGAGGTAAGGAGTGTTGAGGGGTGGGCCCCAGGGGCTGACGAGCCAGGACTCATCCTCCAGCTTCTGTTTCTCTCCCTCGCCCCCAAATCAGCCTCGGTTTCACTGTGCCCTTCACCCTCGACTGCTGTTCCCGTGTTTGCTCTCCTCTGGGTGGCCACCCTGGACATCTGCTCACCCTCTCTCTCTCCTCCCTTTCTTTTCTCACATTTGCCTGCCTCTGGGTCTTTCCATTTCACACTAGAGGTGGCACTCTGGGCAGCAGAGGGATTTCTAAGACCTGGCCCCTGCCCTGGGGTTACTCCCAGACTGAGGCACACATCAGGGCTGCAGGCCTGGGGGCTGCTGCTGGGGTGCAGCTGATCAAGGGCAGTCTTTGTGGATATGTTGGGCATAAGGGGGGACCCTGAGGTCTATCTTTTCTAATATGAGCCTACATCCCCTGGCTGTCACCCTCCCTGGCACCCAGGCTCCCCAGGGTATTCAAGGCAGAACTCCTTGAACAGGCAGCCTTCCTTCTCTGCCACTGGGGTCTCTGCTGGGAAGCTGTGGGGCCACTGTCTTCCTGAGTCTCCATCACAGAGGTCTATGGTGGGGGAGGAGCCAGCTGCCCAGAACAGGCCCATTTCTCTGACGGAGACAGTAGCAGAAGAGTATTGCTGGGGTACAGTGTGATGTGAGTGTTGGTATCTGTGGGCTTCAGGGCCTTTCTGCAGCTCCCCTGGTCTGTGGGTGTGGATATTGTGTGTGTGATAGTGTCTCTCCCTGCTGGTGTATCTGCAGGGCTCGATACAGCTTCTTTTACGGTGCCCTTTTCTTTGTCTGTGGCTTGTGTATGTATGTGTCTGCCTGTCTGTCTGTCCCACAAGACAGTGAGCTGAGAAGGGGAAGAACCATGTCTCTGTCCTTTTTAGTCTACTTTCTTGCACAGTGCTGGGACGCAGGAGGCATAAGGAGCCACTCTGCTCTGTGTAGATTTTCATTCTCCCTGAGTGTGTCTTTCTGTCTGATCCTGGGCATCTGTGCCCCTGTGGGTGTGTGGGTCTCTGTGTCTGTGTGAGCGTGATTATTCTCTGAGTGTGTGTCCTCTGTGTGTGTGTAGTTGTGCGCGGGTGTGACTTTCAGCAGCCTCCCCCAGCTAACCTGGCTGATGCTCACCAGGACCCTCACCCCGGCACCGCCTGGAGCCCATGGATACCATCTTCGTCAAGAATGTGAAGGATGAGGGCCCTGCCCATAGGGCGGGGCTTCGCACAGGTGAGCTGTCCCAGTTATCCAGCTCATTGCGCCCCTCTGGGTCTCTTCTCCCTACCCTCTGGTTAGGATGGTATTCTTAGACCCAGGTATCAGGGAGGCTTCTGTCACCCTCCTGTCATCTGTACTGGCTACAAGGGTTCTCAGGTAGGGCCATTGACACGTCTTGGCCTGCTCACACACGGGGCTGCCCCTTGTTCCCAGGAGACCGGCTGGTGAAGGTGAATGGGGAGAGCGTCATTGGGAAGACCTACTCCCAGGTCATAGCTCTGATCCAGAACAGGTGAGCGCCCCCTGCCTCTTTCCTCTCATAATAGCTCCTGCCCACTCGCTGAGACTCCCTGCACACCCCATCCCCTTGGCTCTGGGGGTGCCCTGGAGACCAGGATCCAGGTTCTCCCAGACCCTGTTGCCTCAGCCGGGCCTGACCCCCTGCCCTGTCTCTGTAGTGCTGATACCCTGGAGCTCTCCATCATGCCCAAGGATGAGGACATTCTCCAGCTGGTGAGTCCTGCTCTGCAGTCTGAAGTGGAGGATCCTGGAGGCCTGGGGGGCAGGATACAGCCTTTCTCCTTGGGCCTCCCTCCTGTGTCTGTCCCTCTGGGAGGCAGAGAAGAGAGTGGAGGGGGCAGTACCAGCCTGGCATTGCCCAATGGGGGATGCCAGGCCCATCCCTGGGCTGGGGCTGGTTGTTGCTTCATTTAGGGCTGCTCTGTGTTGAGGGAAGGGGAGGCGCCGGCCTAGCAGACAGGATTCCTGCCAGGGTATCTGGAAGGAGAGTGGCTCAGCGGGCCCTGCCAGACTGGCACGTTTTTGTGGGCTCCCATGAGATGCCTGTTACCTGCATCTTCTCCCTGCCTGGCTCTGAGTGAGTGTGTCTCCTGTAGTTGTGTCCCCACACACAGCACACCCACCCCACCCCACTGTCATGTGCTCTCACTCACAATACACTATGCACCACTCAGTACACAAGCGTAGCACACCAGATACACAGCCACACAACATAACCCCTCAGTACCCCTTCATCTAGCATGCCGTAAACCGTGGTACATCACACACAGACTCAGTGAACCCAACACACCACACCAAACACATGCCACCACACAACCTCTCAGCACTGCACACAGGCACCCACTACCACACAACCCCTCAAATATCACAGTACAGCACAAACATCATAACAGCGCAACACACTCTCAGTATCTCCGTTCCCCACAACACAACATATATGCAGTGTATCACAACACACATACCGGGACTTCTCACCACTCACCCACATCACAAACGCTCGCTGTCGTCACAGCATGTGTGCCCAACATCACAGCGTGCCCCAGCCCAACACAGGTGCCAGCGTTCACCAGTCTCACAGTAACCAAACCTTAAACAGTCATGATGCGCAGTTCAAACACCTCCCCACACGGGCACTCAGCACGCCTAGAACCCTGCATCGGCACAGCAGATACCATGGACATTGCACCCAGCATGTCCTGTATATGATCTGTGCACACACACACATGCACATGCTGTCTCTCTCTGAGCCCCCTCCCAGCCTTGACCAGAGCCCAGGGCTGTCCTCTGTGCCCAGTGCCCAGTTCCCTGGTTTCATGGTTCCCAGCCAGATGTCAGCTTGCTTGCCCCCAAGGTTACTGCCCCCCCTCCCCCGCCCAGGGGAGACTGAGTGCCAAGCCCAGAAGGCCCTGAGAGTCACTCTGCTGGCTTCTGCCCCAGATGTGTTCTCATAATCACTGTAATCATAGTGCCATGCTTGGCACCATGCCTCTCTGGGAACCTCCACCCCCTGACCTCAATGGTCCCCTTGCCCTTCCTGGTGAGGGGGAGGGAAGATGGGGGCCCAGAGAGGTGCACAGCTCCCCACAAATCTTCAAGACCCTACCCATATACTTCAAGGCTGAGGCTACGCAAGCTATGAGATGGTACCCCACCATGTCCCCTCGGGCCTGGAGGGGGTGACAGGGCAGGACCTAGGGCATGTCCTCCCACTCCCTGTTCAGTTGGAGGGGACAAGAGATGAGGACAGCAATCTGGAGCTCTGCTACCCAGGCTCTGGTGGGCAGCCCCAGATGTCAGCATCTGGGGCCTCCGCTGGCTCCCCCATCCCTGCCGGCCAGAGGGTGGGGCCCAGGCATTCCTGTGGTTGGGAGCCAAGGCTGGAGGCCAATGGGGCCGCGGCAGCCGCTGACGCCACCGCCGACGCTGCGAGGCCCCTCCACACCCATCCTTCCCTCCCTCCTCCTCCGAGCCGGAGCCGGTGGGGGCCAAGGGCAGGCAGCCGCAGGGAGGGCAGACTAGGAGTGGGGGGCCACGGAGGCCAGGGTTGACGCAGTGGTCTGAGGGGTTAGCTGGGCGGGGGAGGTTGGAGGCGGGCAGGATGCTGCCGCCACCAGCGTGATGCGGGGAGCCTGCGGAAGCTGAGCCGGCAGGATGGCAGGAAGGAGAGGTATGTGTGTCCCTGATCAGGCTGTGTTGGTCTGAAGGGGGCTGAGTGTGCAGGGGTGTGGTTTCGCTCATTTTCATCACATGATGTGTGTGCTGGGACTGGAGGTGTAGTTATTTGTGTGTGTGTGTGTCCTATTGTATTTATGTATGTGTGTGTGTGTCTCTGGGTGTGTATTTTCTTGTGTCTCCTGTGGTGTGGCATGTGTGTGTGTGTGAGATTGGTTTCACCCTCCCACCCTCTGATACTCACCCTGAGATAGGCCACCAGGCAGCCCACCAAGGGCCAGGCTAGGGCAGGGCCACAAGGCCACTGTCCCTGGGGGCTGCCTCCTTTTTTGGCCGGCCGGGGCACTGGGCCTGTCACTCCTTAGCAATGCAGCGTCAGCCTCAGCTCCCAGAGCCAAATTCCAGGCCTTGGGTGGCAGAAGGTGGCCCAAGGCCCCTCCCCCAACCTGACCCAGAGAGAGCAGGAGGTGAGCTAGCTCCTCCTCACCCCAGGAACCAGGCCCCAGCTCCCCATCCAGGGGATGGTTGGACAGCTGGGCTTTCCAGCTGCCTACCCCTCGACCCCCTGCTTAGACACACCCCTTAGCCTGCTTCCTTCTCTGTCATTTGCAATCTTGACTGGTCTCTGGTGGGGCTTCCAACTCTGCCTGAGGGGCTGTGGGCACTGTTGGACATAAGGAAGCAGGGAGGCAGCTGAGGCCAGCAAGGGGGGAGGACCCCAGAGAACAGATGTTGGAATGTTTGTGGCTAAAGGCAGTCCTTGT